AAATTTCGTTGAGTTGCTCATGGCCCCGTGATGCTCCGACCACAACAAAATGATAGTTATTTACATCAAAATCTGTGGTACTATTTAACAATATTAACAAATCGGATACTCAAGATTACCTCAATAATGCCGTTAGGCGGCAATATAAGTCAAGTTTCTCGACTACATGACAAGTAGTGTGCAACAAAATTCCTTCTTATTCCTTTACATTCCCAGTGAAACATAGAGCTGCAAGCAATAGGGATGGGGTTGCTAGCCCCCCCTTCTTTACCATTCTTATTGCTGGCTTGGCGAGGTAAAGGAGTGCATCGGCCAAGGATCGAATCCAAATCCACCTGCGTAGTTGGCGAGCATTCTACCGCTGTGCCACCGATGCACCAGAACAAAACATAAAGATAATGAATTCAATTTGTGTATACATACATTTGGAAGACAGAGGTTTCTTTTGAAAAGTAAACGATTTTGTTGTTAAGGTAACGATAAGCCACTGATAACTGCGAAACCAGATGTAAAAATCAAAACTTGGTGTATACGAAGTCAACTGAAAAAAAACGATAATATAAAACAGTAATCAGAGTTCAAAGGATCGAAAATTTATTTACTGTAATCTTGACTTTCATGTTGATCAGCTGGATTAAACACTGCTGGAACTATGTTGACATATCAGCCCCTTGTGTGGATGTTTTGACGATATCTGAGAAAAAATAACTTGATATCATTTGATGGAATCAGTCCAGGATGCTCATTTCGTCCCATATAGGAACCATTATCTGGATATACCCCTGCATTTCCCAGTGAGTGATAATGTTCCTAATGGGATTCGAACCCTGTGCCCGTTGTTTCAAATGACAAAGCGTTATTCACTAAACCAAATGGGCAACGAGAGCCAGCACTTCTTGTGTCACGGGTATTAATAATTATTTAATTCAATCTGAACTTCTTTGTTAACTAAATACAGCTGCGACAATTTCAGTCATTCGGGAATGAGGTATATTCCAATGACGAGTCCCAAATAGGATCAAGCGAGCATACTCCACTCTACTGTTAATCACCATCCACCAAAAACGTTCAGAAATTCATTCTGTTATGAAAGTGAAATGGCTTCACTGTATTGAGTCACCATCCTTTTATTCGACTTCGTACACAACAACGTTGGATTTTACAATCTTTTGATTTCTAATGTCACTGTATTATGCTATCATTGATTACTCAATCATCACCGATTTATCAGCACCTTAAAAACAAACTTTCTAATTAAATAACAGAAAAGATTTGTGGTTCACTTGGATGATACTGAATTAGTTGTGTTCTCTCACTTGAGCTGGTCAGTTTAATTGTGAAGTTTTCAGCGTCCACCCCTTCTAGACAACTGTCTGTCTGGATTCAACATAGAACTTGGCACCGAAGTGCACCAGTTCGAGTTGCCACGTTCCAAATAGCACACAGAGATAGACAAGAAGATGAGTGAAGAGAATCAATAGAGTTTGACAAGTATAAGAGTGAAACAGAATGGCTAATGGTAGAAAGGAATATAAAAGATTACAGAGACTGAATACATCTGCGCTGGCCATTGACAATGATTTTGAGCCATGTCACCTATTGTCTCCAGCCATTGATTGATTCCTAGAGTCCCGAGGGCCCCAACCCGGGAGTCTGCATCTCCCTACCTGACTCAGTTTAACTGTCAAGGATTTCATGGATTGATGAGGCCATGTTTTTGTTTGGCCACCACTGGCTCTTTTCCAACCTACACCTATATCAGCTAGTAATGCCCGCCCGTCGGGGGAGGCGATGGTTAGGCATGCGCAGCACGTCACCTAGCCATCTCAATCTATGTAACTTTATAGCCTCGTCGATTGATTTTCCCTCTTTGCCTGACGAACACTCTACGCCTAACGTCAACATTACTTAACTTATTAAACCACCTAACTTGAGACAGAGATCGCAGACATCTATGATCGAAAGCAGTCAACCTTTTCATGTCTTCAACTCGTAGACAACACCCTTCCTTCCACACAGGCTCTAGTATAAAATGAACTCATTTAAATTCTACATGAATGATGTCATTGTATCTTCTAACCAACCTCCTTCGTCGTGACTGGTTGTTAATTCACATCTCTATTGGTCATGTGTTTGTCAACTTGGAATTTGAACTCTCTTATCATATGATTTACTTTTTATCAAGTGGTAAATTTGGTATGTGGTAATATGTTTATTAATCGATGGCTGATTCATTTGAGTACCAGACTTCTAGGAATTCCATGTCTGCATTTTCGGTGTTTCCTGTATTTAAAATTTCTATATTATCCTAATCAAATTGGTGTCCGCAATTATCCACATGCATTGATATGAAAGAATATATACATGTCTTTTTACAGCCAGTTTTTGTGTTGTTTGTTTGGGATTCAAAGGGGACGCCCATCTTAACCGAAATAATGATTATTGCAGTTCATACGGTTTATTTTGTAAGTGGATCTTTCGGATCTGTTGGTTCTTTTGGTCTGTACAATATGGAATGAAGCGATTGGGCTGGCTTGTATGCTACATCTATTTCAAGCGGTCTCAATATTCTAGCTGTTATTTCAGAGACATTTTATGTAGAGAGAATACAGTAAAAGAATTCCTAGAAGTCAGGTACTCATGTGAATTGGTAATTAACAAAAACGATCAACATCAATGGGAGAAATCTGAAAGAAGCAACCTGCTTCACCTACCTACCGAGGAAGCATCGTTTCAACTACAGGCCGACGAAACTGATGTGGATATCAAAGAGAGGATCAGGAAAGCAAGGCAAGCTTTTATTACTTCCAAGTCTTTGTGAAGATCAACAGCACTCAGAATGAAAAATAGGATCCAGATTTGCTACTTTAATATGAATTCAGTGCTACCATATGAATCAGATATTTGGCCAGCGCGTGATGAAGGCTACTTAGAACAAACTACAAACTTTCAACAACAGCTGTCTTCGCTCTATACTACTCAAGATCAGATGGACGGCCAGAAATGATCAGCAACAGGTATCTCTCGCCGACCATTCACATGGTCCGGGGTTCGAGCACGCACCGACGCACATCTGATATCTATGGTCGGCCTGCAAAATTTGGGCTACCGATATCCATGCTGAAAATTCCATACTTGTACCAAAAATACAGTGTGGAATCAAGCTGTAAATCAAAAATCAAAAAAAAAAATCTCTAGGAGCGAACCAACCCAGCGGGAAACAATTGTTCAAAAAATATTCAAGAAAAAATGGAGGTGGATTTGCCATACTCTAAGAAAACAAACCGTCATCAAGTGATATCACACGCCAGGCCATCGCTCGAGGGTGTAACCAGACTGGGAAGAGGTGAGTTGGTCGTCAGTTCGAGGGTGACACGGAGAAGATTATGTGACGAGGAGATGAAAGCATGTGTGTAGGCATGTAGCCAGGGGAAAACGTTGGCGGAGAACAGAACGTAATGGAGACGTGCGGCTGAAGCCGTATGCTTCGCTAGCAACTAAAGGTGACAACAATAATAATTACCATAGATCAAATTTATTAGTTGACAAAAAGTAAATCACACGGCAAGCGAGTTACAATTCCAAGTCGACAAAATCATGATCAATAAAGGTGTAAATTAACAGCCAGTCACGAGAAACATGGCTGGTCAGGAGATACAATCACATCGTTCATTGAGAATTTAAATGAGTCCATTGAAGGAAGGTGTAGCCTAGAAGGGGTGGACGATGAAAGCTTCCCAATTTTATCAACCAGCTCATGTGAGAGAACACAGCTAATACAAAACTTTTATATATTTAGTAGGAACTTTGCTTTTATTCAAGACATGCATATACACTAACCATTTGAGATGAATAGAAGTTAACTGGTGGATGGTGACTAACAGTGGAATCCAGGATGCGCATTTCGTCCTATTAAGGACTCACCGTCTGGATTTACCTGGAGTTCTCAGTGAGTGATGATGTTCCCACCGAGGCTCCAAGTGCTTATATTTTCAAACACAAAAGCGTTAGCCACTAGACGAGCCACGAGAGCCACTTCTTATGCAACGGGTCATATTTATTATTCAATTCAATTTTAGATTTTCCCGTCGATTGATTAGACCGAAATGCTCAGTCTCAGGTTGACATGCCGGCTTCTTATGCAGATGCTATTAATACTGGGTCCGAGCCTCGGTGAGATCGTCATCAATCACTGTGAAATGCAGTTACATCCAGCTGATAGGTCCCAAATAGGAATAAATGCGCGTTATCCTGGATTCCACTGCTAGCCACCATCAACCAATTGTATACTAATTAAATGCCCAGAAATCGTCGAAGCATCTGCACAAGAAGTCGACATGTCAACCTAAGACCGAGCACTTCGGTCCAATCGATCGATGGGAAAATCTTAAATTGCATTAAACATATAAACCTACTCAAGTTTGAATAACTCATCCACTTATATTATCACAATTGTTTCGAATAAAGTATGTACAAGCCTCTGTCGTTGTTATTGCAGTTGTTTTACAACCTGCAAGGAAAGATCATTTTTAGGCTTATATCATTTCTAAATAATGCTTCAACTAATTACCTACTTGATGCATCGCCTAATCTATATATGTGTAAATCATTTAAATTTGAATAATTTCACATTGAACATTGAAACGTATTAGTGTATCATTAGTCAATTAAAACAAAAAAAACCAGTAGAATTTTCGATTCTCGATTACAATAATATTATATATGTGTATATATATATTAGGAGATATGAAATCATAAATAGGTAGATAGATAGGCAGGCATACTTCAGATAAAAGAAAATCAATAAATCAAATTCAGGGAAGATAGGCAAATATATGCATTATATATATAGAGAAAGAGAGAGATGTGACAAATGGAAGACTTTTGAAACAATTCTTGATATGTATGTGTTACAATTGAGTTAAACACAGAAGATGAAAGACACATTGTTAAGTTATCGTCGAAAAAAAAAGTGGAAAACAAATCACAAAAAGGTGACTCTATCTAAAAGGAGGAGTGATAGGTTTATAGGTTTTATCAGAATCATGCATAGAAGAATATTGTAGAATATCTGTGATACGCTTTGATTTTGTGCGAGATGTTGGCGTGCTAGTGAGATATGGTTGAAACAGTTGATAACTTGTTTGATATGGTGTATTTATACATGTGGTTCTCGGTTTTAATACTCTATCCGCTGACTGTGATCTTAATGTACGTAGATTCATTTTAGAAACAGTCGATGGCTTAGCACTACTACTACTACCAGATGCGGTCAGTGTGACAGGTGGATTTCGTTCAGGTTTATGATCTAACTCAGAAGTTAATATATGCACAGAATTCAATCGACGACGTGATGTATCCAAGGTATTTTGACAATGAATTGATCTGGAACAAATATTATTTGGTTTAATGCATAGATTCTCTGTTAAATTTGTTGATGATATTGATGATGTGATGAGTAGGGTTGAGTTTGTTGTTTTCAACGGTAGGTAGTCATGCTTAGTCTGTCTTTTATTGATATCTTGAAATCCGCTGTTATCTGATTTCTCATTTGAAAAATGGCATGCTGGCGGTTTTTGACTAAATTGAAGTGGTTGGCTAGTTGATCTGTTAGTAATCAGTCCGGAATCTTTACTAGTCGGTCGTTTCAACTTACTACTTTGTTGTAATGACGTTTTGCTTATTTCTGGTTCAAAGGAGACTTCGGTGGACGGTTTCAGTTGGCGCTGTAATCAAAACGAATAAATAAATACATATTAAACAAAGCCAAGATGAGATAAACATAAGACAAACCTTTATTAATCTAAAACCGATCTTTACAGTCACTGTTTTACTCAGCATAAGAGAAAAGATCAGGATTTCCGACGTTAATGTCAATTCAGTCAGTCCTTCTACATGGCGTGTCATGAAAAACATTTTTCAACAAGCTTTAAACCTTCGTTAACAGCTGCCTTCACCGATTGAATATCAGATGGCATGTGACGAACCAATCAGAAGACTGTAGTCCTCCAAACATTTTCACTTTAAAGACGTATCGTACACACGATAAGTTTACAGTTTTGTGCCTAATTGGAAACGACGAAATCAGCATAGCCGCAAGGATAAATTAATAGGAATATCGTTGAAGTACTGCATTCAAGGATGTGAATTTCAAGTCAAATAGTCTATAATCAACTGTCATCCTTGCTGAAATATATATTTACAGAAAGTGTAGTAATAAACGAAATGAAATTCACGATCGGAGAAAGTAGTGATCATGCAGAGTAGACACGAAGTGGCCATTGTATCGGGTCCCAGTGGTCCCAATAGTCTATGAGCTCGTCTTGTGACAGGCAGACCCCGGGTTCCTACTGATGAGGAGTCCTAAACTAGTCGGAGGAAAAAGCTGTGCAGTACTCATGATGAAATTCGCTAATTATGACAGACATTTAACTGTAAAACCTGGTGAACAACCAGTTATCGCAAAGATTAATTCTGTGTTGACAAATCAGTCTACTGAGATTTTTTATGGGCATCATATACCATTCATTATTGTTGTTGATCACCTACGGATTGAAAGAAAGACTAATTATTCAAAGTGCCAAAGAAAGGAGATTTACGTCAATGCAAGAACTGGCGCAGAATTATGCTCCTGTCCATTCAAAGCAAAATACTAAGCCGCATCATCCTGGAGAGAATCAAACACGCCAACATGGATGAAAAACTTCGACCGGAACAAGCTGGATTCAGGAGAAACAAGTCATGTATTGATCAAATCGTCACACTAAGGATCATCATTGAACAAAACTTTAAATGGCAGTCACCTCTCCACCTCACTCAACTTCATCAACTTTGAAAAGGCCTTCGACAGCGTCAATCGAGAGGTCATTTGGTAACTACTTCGCTACTACGGGGTCCCATCGACAATTATACATCTCATTCAACAGTTATACGACAATAATGCATGCCAAGTAATCCACAACGGGAGACTTACGGAAGCCTTCGAAGTGAGGACGGGAGTGAGGCAAGGCTGTCTACTATCGCCAATGATCTTCCTGATTGCAGTAGATTGGATAATGCGACAGACAACGGTCAATGAGGAAACAGGCATAGAATGGACCCACACAAAAAACTTGGAGGATCTGGACTTCGCCGATGATATATGTCTGATTTCTCATAAACTGGAAGATATGCAAGTGAAAAGCGACAAGCTGGCAGAAGAAGCATCAACAGAAGTCAGGATTTCAGGTGAACATAGATAAAACAGAAGTGATGAAGATTCCTGGCCAACACCAACAGCAGCAACAACAACAGACAACAATCAGCCAGTATAAATGGGAGGAACCTGAAAGAAACAACCTCCTTTACCTGCTTACCTGGGAAGCATCGTTTCAACTACAGGCGTACGGAACTGACGAGGATATCAAAGCAAGGATCGGGAAGGCAAGACAAGCTTTATTACTCTCAAGTCTGTGTGGAGGTCAACAGCACTCATCATCAACTCTAATGTGAAGTCAGAGACTTGGCGTGTGATAAAGAGCACTTCAAACAAACTACAGACTTTCATCAACAGCTACCTATCTTCGCTCAATATTTGAGATCAGACGGCCAAAAAAATAAGCAACAAGGAGGGATCTCTGGGAGAGAACCAACCAGGAACTGATTGTGCAACAAATATGCAGGAAGAAATGAAGGTGAATTGGTCATACCGTGAGAAAAGAAACCATCAAGTGACATCACACGCCAGGCCATCGCTCGAGGGTGTAACCAGAATGGGTAGCGGTGAGTTAACTGGTCTTCAGTGAGAGGATGACGTGGAGGAGGTCAGGCGAACAGGAGATTAAAGCATGTGTGTAGACGTGTAGCCAGGTGAAAACGTTGTCAGAGAAGGGAACGCAGTGGAGACGTACAGCAGAAGCATTACGTTCCTCCAGGAATTAAAGGGAATAATAATACATTTATACTAATAATTGTTGTGGATTCCTTAAACTACGATCCTCATACATACAAAAAATGTATATTTTTGTTTTACCGACTTCTATCTAATGATATACCTACCTGACTACCTGCCTCACTCACTTTTAGGCTATCAGCTCTTAGTCCACATAGGTCTTGAGTTCGACTCACACTTTGCATACCATACTTCAGTTCATAGAGGTGAGTAGTGTGTGTGTGTGTGTGTGTCACAGCAACCGACTGATTTATCACTACTGCAATGAAACTGTATTATTTAGGCAAGTCATCCTACTTAATATCCATTCAGAGTTTTTTCACAGAAAATACACCTCTAATAAATGATTTTTTAAATATACAAATAAAAGCTAACGTCAACTGTAAAGATTATTCACCTCAGTCAAGTAAGTCATGTGCGTTTTAACTTTCTTTCTCATTACTTCTATATATATAGAAGTAATATATATATATATATATATTCCCTGATTTATCGATAGACTATTGATGATATGCTTATCATTGTATATAGGTATTAAAAAAAAGAAACGAAAGATTAGCAAATCTTACTCTTACAGGTGATCGGATCAAAAAAAACAGTACAAAAAATGATAAGAAAATAAATATCTATGTGCCCTATTTAATTCTTAGATAAATTACTGTCGTGTGCCTTTAGAACTCAAAAAAAAAACGTTTACATTTGTTATTGATTTGCTTGTAACTATTTCACCCTATCCACTCCACCAACTGACTGACTGACTGTGCTGAAACCAAAATTCTGAAGTCTCATTTTCCTGCCAAATTTGCTCTCTGTACAAGCAATTCGACAAATTATCACTTTGGCTGACAACAGGATAAATCCAAGGAGTGTGTTTCTTCTTCCTCATTGAAGACTTATCACCTGAATTTATCTACTCCACACTGTTCTTCTTGAAACTGGTGGATAGAAAACGCTTTGGAGGGGGGTGGTGCGGTGGATTCGCGTCTAGGGGGATAGGGAGAATTATATCATTCACTGGAAAATGCAGAGATATCCAGTCAACGAGCTTCAAATATGCAGAAACATGAGTCAGTTGGCCAGTTAGCAAGAAATCAACTACTATTTGAATAGATTAATGAATTTCTATGCTAACTGCTGATGTGTACTGGGATATTGAAAGGGATATGAGCCTCCCACGTTACCCTAGTATTCTGCACACGTTTTATTATTATTATATCCTGTAATTCCTAGAGGAACATAGTGCTTCAGCTGCAGGTCTCCATTGCTTTCGCTTCTCTGCTAACGTTTTTACCTGGCTGCATGTCTACATACATATTTTCACTTCCTCTTCACACAATCTCCTTCATGTCACCTTCGACATGACGATCAACTAACTCGCTACTTCCCATTCTGGTTACACACGAGCTATGGCCTAGCGTGTGATGTCACTTGATGTTTTGTTTTCTCAAAGTATGGTCAATCCACCGGCAATCTGATCTTGAGTGGTACTGAATGAAGACAGCTGTTGATGAAGGTGTGTAGTTTGTTCGAAGTGTCCTTCATGACGCGGCACCAAGTCTCTGATCCCGTAAAGTAAGTAGCACTGACTTCACATTGGAGTTGAAAATCCGGATCCTTTGTTTCCTGCTGAGTGCTGTTCACCTCTACACTGACCTGAGAGTAATGTTTACACACTCTAATAATGCTAATAATGTCAAACAGTCCTAAACTCTTTTGATTTAGTTGTGTCCTCTGACCTGAGCTGGTTGATTTAATTGAAAAGCTTCCATTGTCCATCTTGCTTCTAGATAATATCTTCAGTGATGGTTCTGGTATTTGAATTCTCTATGAATGATGGTATATCCGCGTATCTCCTGACAACCATTGTCATCATGATTGGTTGTTAATTTACATCTCTTATTGATATGTTTATTTTTAGTGACTTGGAATTTGAACATTCTTATCATGTGATTTGTTTGTTAATTAATCAATGATTCACCTGAGTACAAGGTTTCTAGAAATTCCTTGACTACATTTTTCGGTGTTTCCTCTGCTTAAAATATCTACATTCTTCCAATCAGATTATTGTTCGTAATTATCTATGTGCATCGATGTTAAACAATATACATTTATCATGTCATTCTACAGCCAATTTGTGGTCCTGGGTTCGGAGTCCAAGGGGATGCCCACTTTGACCAGTGTATTGCTTACTGCAATTCATGCATGCAATCTAATTTATAAATGTAACCAATTTTATCTCCTCTTTCTGTTGGATCTTTGTGTTTGCACAATATTGAATGAAGTGATTGTTCTGGCTTGTGTACTTTATCATTGTCAAGCAATCTTAATATTCTAGCTGTTATTTCAGAGATATTTTGTATACATAGTGGCGTAAATTTCCTTACGGTCTTTGATGTTGGCTTGTTGTTTGTGTTATAACTCGAGTTTAAACACTTTTTTGTTAAAATTATGAGGATACCCATTGTTTTTGAAGATGCTTAGTAGTAGGTATGTTTCCTCTGGTCTCTTCAACACTGGAATATTAGAGTATGTCTGCATATAGTTCCTTTTGTGAATCATTGGTTTACTGGCATAGTACTTGAATATTTGGTCTGCGTGTATTGATTTTCTGCATACTTGTATTCATTTCATACTAAAACCTCAGCTGAAGATGTTGTCTAGAAGGTGAACAACGAAAACTTCACAAGTGAATCAATCAGTTCAGCTCAGAGAATACATCCAAATCAAATCTCATCCATTAATCCTAAACTCTTACTGTAAAGTCTCCTATTCAATTATTTCTCTGAAAATTCAACACTGAAATAAATCTGTAGCGAAATGTACAACACAGTTGCATCAACCGGCTAAGTGACATTCTGTTACAGGATTTCATTGTGAGCTCTGACATCGGTTAGAGAACCATTGGAAAACCACTATAGAGTACTCCACAGCCAGCTGTTTCGTCCTACTCTAGGACTCTTCATCAGCACGCACCAACCTCTAGGGTTCGAACCCAGAACCTTCCAGTTACAAAGCCAGTAGGACCCCATTCAATGGCCAGAGTCCATGAATTCTTACTTCTACCAATTCACGACATGGCGAGACCGACACTAGGCAATAATGACACAGCTGAAGAGTATTTGTCCTCACACCCGCGACCTGTTGTACCCTGCTGGTCACGACTTCCCACCAGAACCTCAGATAACTAACTACCTATCTGAATAGGGCAAGTCTTGAATGAACATCTCAAATCAATGAAATCCCTACAAATCAATACTTGAAAAAACGACATTCGACCTTATCTGATCGATGAATACCAACTGATGCCACGTAAACTGTATTGAAATGTTTAAGTATATCAATGACAATTATGCAATACTGTCAATGACAGTTGGACGAAAGACAAGAAATGTTATTATATTACACAAATACAAGCTGGTACCTGAATGGTTGAATTCCTGACTCTTGATAAAAGAAGTTTATTTTGTATTTAAGTAACTGAAATCAACTGCTTATTGCTTTGTTAACATATTGTGTTTGGCTAATTTTAAACTTCCTGAATAGCAACGATTCGGTAACTAGGAGGCATAAATGAAGAAGGATATCAAAAGGCTGAACAAGACAGGCGTTCAGTACTCATGCGACAGGTTTGGAGATTTACAGTACTTAGTATGACGAAACAATATCTGATGTTTATACACTAATGTTAAGTCAGTGCATCTATATGCTTGAGAGGTTCAAGGCCACAAAAAAAAGCATCTTCAACAGACTAATGTGGACTTTTATCAACATCTGTCTCGTTTAGTAGACACTAAAGATTAGATGATCAGCCAGAAAGGAAAAGCAGCAGATAGATCTGACGGCTTAGGGGACTTTTGAGTGGGATAACACCTCAGGCTGTCGAATGGAACTCGAATAAGTAAGTAGCAACCAGTTGAGCGTTCATGAGTGACACGAAGGATATCATGTGAAGAGGAAATGAAACGTGCGAGCAGTAGTAGAATCAGCTGAGAATGATAACAGAGGACTGAGTGAAATGCAGATGTTTCTCTGAGGCCTATCGGAACTCATAGAATGGCTAATTATAATAATAATGACGAATAATAAGAAATATTCGCCAATGAAATTGCCAGGTTCCAGTCCCCTCAAAATCACGGACTAGTAGGTCATCCAGTCGGCTCCCCATGGCTACATAGTCAGCCAGCTTCCTGTTTGACCAGTAGGTTGGGGGTTCGAACCCTGGCATATACATGTTGCCTAAAAGTCCCAAACCAGGGCGAAACATCTGTCAATTAGTGATAATCATAGTATTTCTACATTCTTATTCACTCACCAGACAGAGCAGAGTAAACATCCAATTGACTTAAGACTGGTCACATCAACAGCAATCGCTTATGTGACAGCTAAGGTTATTTCGTTGGAGGATTTCATCATACGGATCAGAGACTTGACGCGTCATAAAGAGCACCTCAAACAAACTACAAACCTTCGTCAACAGCTGTCTTCGCTCAATACTCAAGATAAGATGGCCAGCCAGAAAAGATCAGCAATAGGGATCTCTGGGAGCAAACCAACCAGGAACTGATTGTGGAACCCGAAAAGGAAGCGGTGAGTTGATTTTCAGTGCGAGGGTGACTTGGAGGAGGTCATGTGAAGACGAGATGAAAGCATGTTGGCAGACTTGGAGTAAGGTGAAAACTTCAGCAGAGAACCGAACGCAATGGAGACGCGCGGCTGAAGCCCTATGTTCCTCTAGGAAATATTAATAATAATAATGACAATAGATGTCAGTTAGAGAACCATTGGAAACCCAGCAGGGAGTACTGGACATCTGTTTCGTGAAAATTACTCTAATGCTAACTACCGACTGACCCTATTCAAGTAGTTAGTTACCTTGGGTTCTAGTGGAAATTGGTGACCAGTAGGGTACAGTAGGTTCAAGGTGAGGCAGTAACTCATCGAAGAAGACATTGTGAAGTGGTCGCGCTATGCCGTGAATTGGTAGAAGTTATAATTTATGGTCTACTGGATCGGATCCCGGTGGCTTAATGTTCTACAAGATAGCTTGCCTTGTAACTAGAAAGTCCTGGATTCGAACCCCCTGTGTGGTGGGTGTGTACTGATGAAAAGTCTCGCTCTAGGACGAAACAGCTGTCTAGCAGTATTCCGTGCAGGTCTTGCAATGGTTCTCTCACCAAAAAAATCCTTCAATCAATCAAATAAAATCTCTACAAAAAAAACCAATACTTGAAAGTTACGGTTATTGTTTACAACATTATAATTATACCTACCTGATTTCTTGAATTTTGATTCATCGTTGAACTGTTATTATTAATATTGTAGGCCTTTTTTAAGACCTGCTGATAATTTGCTGCATCATAACTGCCATTTACCAATTTTTCATTTAACCTCTTCTCTGATAAACTTGTCCGTTTGATTCGGTTTTCATTCTCTTTTAGGTGGCTATAACTATTACTGCTACAATTACTGATATTATTATTATTATTAGTTGTTGTTGTTGTAGGAATACATGTTCCGGTAACAGAAGAATTCCATGCATACTGTTGATGTTGTGTGTGTTGCTGATGCTGATGCTGTGGGTGATGTATACTTTTACCAGTCTCTAAAACAGACCGTATTGTAGGCCCAGCCAGTCGAGTTGTAGTCATACTCTTTTGTTGACAATGTTTTTGTTTATTATCAATCAATTTTTGTCGATAATTTTCAGTATTTGATTCAAATAGAAGACAATTTTGATAAGGTGATTTATTAATTGTTAGAATATTTTCATGATTACTTTGTAGGGATTGTTCTGTACGTGATTTATTCAGATAGAGTGTACGTTTCTTTCGGGGAACAGGATGACTTCTCTCTGATTGACAGTTTATACTACTTTGTGTTTGACATGAATTTTCAATATTTTCATTTGATGTACGATTACGATGATGATGGTGATGATGATGATCGAATTCAGGAGTTGGACTTGGTGTCTCCGAGTTCACTACAGATTGTCTTGTACGACTAAGTCTTAGTGTACTTAAACTGATATGATCTTTTCTAGGGACGGTTAAAAATCGGTGGTATTGTTCACTATCACTGGGATTATTATTAATATTATTATTATATCCCGATGAGAAACGTATAAAAAATGGTGAAGAGTGATCAAGTAGTGAGGATTTATTTGATCGACTGATTGATTTATCAAGCATACTATTAACTCTTAAATCTAGATATGAAGAGGTGATATTATTATTATTGTCGTCAAGTCTACCGGATCGTCGATCAACTCGGTTCAACTCATTAGGATTCCATTCTGGTTTCTCAGATGAAGGTGATGTAACCGGTCGAGTACAGTCAGAATATCTGTGTACAATTCTGTCATCTGTTTTAGGGGTTATTTCATTGTCATCATTTTGATGACGTGCTAGTAGATTCTGTATAATAGCGTGTATATTCGCTCGAGCATTTGTTGTTGTTGTTGTTGCTGTTGTCGTTGTCGAGCAATTACTAGTCTGTGGCATAGAACATGATGTTGTTCCATCGACATCCTGATGGCTTTGACTAGCTTCTGTCACGTTGACAGTTGAATTTTTTAGAAATCCAGTAGCTTTGGTATTTGATGTCAACGCGCGTTCTGTACAATTGTTTCGTATTGGTTTGGCATCTAAAGGTAAAAAAAATGAAGAGAATTTCGATGATCAGTTTTTTAGAGTGTAATCACTTTCCGAAATAAGCATAAAAGTATAATTTAAAGTCATTTAACTGTTCGCGCGAAACATGTAAACTTCAGGAGGGTTTTGAACGATTCAGAGACCTATTTATCTCACTTCTCCCCTCAAATTATAATTGCAGTGTTGTTGACACGTTTTCCCAGCCGGATAGTTAAATTGCTAAGGTGTCTTCATGTTGAACCATGTGGCTGAGAAAGAGGCTACCTTGAGTACCACCTTGAGTCTGTAGACCACTATTAATTCGAACTAGCAGAAGGTAGGCAGCTACTCTAAACTCTCCTGCTAACCAGATTCTCACCTCACCGCCTCAAATCATCGCCTATCACACATACACAAAATTGTTCGAAAACCATACATAATGGCAGTCAGTGACTCACGTGGCCTGTTGTTCGATTCCCAGGAGCCACGCGAGCACTCACAGACCTCACCCAAGCTTGAAACCCAATGTTCCGCTAGTAACGCATGGTATTAAAATAGTTTACAAAATTTCTGAACAAAGACCTCAAGTTATAAATAGAAAGTATAGGCAACATAATTCCAAAGATGATGTTTCCAGACGCATTATTCAGTGTTAAAAGGGGAACTACTTATACAATAACTAGACAAGAAGGTGGGTAGAGTTCAGGTTTCTCTTGGAAATAAGGCTAGACTAAAGACGTAATACAAGAGAGAACACCAGGGAGAGTTTAAACATATTATGATGAGAACCAGGGTGACAGTAAAGATGAATGCGTAGAATATACAAATGTGTAAATTGTTAAAGGAGAGACTAATTTATACTAGAAAGATTCAATTTGTTTTAAAGATCAAGTAACGATTATGTAATCCTCCGAATGCATAAATTATCCCTAATAAGTAATCGAACTAGAGAAATTTCTAACCAGCACAACTAAAGCTAACAAAGCTGTTGTCTGTAGTCTACTTCTCTCAATGTGTGACAAACATTACTCGACACAGGTAAAAGACGCTAGTCTCAATCAAGTTTAGTTGCCCCGGAAAATGCATAAGGCCTGTGTGAACTATAAACACAAACTAAGAGTTCTAAAACCGTTCACAAAATTACCATCGAAAACCAGGGAGTAATGCATAGCTGTTTCGTCCTAGTCTAGAACTCTTCATCAGTACACACCCAAGAGGCCACTCAGAATCACACACAGGACCTTCATTTTACAAGTCGAGCTCATTGACCATTCAGCTACTGGTATGGGATCTAATGTTCCATCAATTAAAACTTCTACCAATTTACGATGCTGAAATGGAGCTCAACCGCTAGCTAATGTTATCACCCGTCATCAAACCCCTAGAAGTGGTCAGTAATCACTGACTACAGGATAAAGTCGCCTGCACTTCTAGTGGGAAATTGTGACTACCAGGATCCACCAAGTTGTGCGTGAGGACAAATACTGACCTGCGAGATCATCTGCAGAAGTTAGAACCAATGGACTACCAGATGCGGCCGCAATGGCTGAATGTTCAACCGCCGAAAATTGCTAAACTAGAACCAAAGCACTGACCAGTGCTTTCTAATTTTACAGCGGCTCTCTAACTAAAGTCAATTCGGCGTCAAAACTAGAAACCACTCCAAACACCTACTCACCCAACCGACCTACCAAAACCTGAAAATTTTGCTTCGTTCGTTACGAGTTTAGCTATTTATTTAGCTATTTATTACTTATATTATCTGTCCAGCCTATAATTACTGACAACCAGCTTCTTTCTTCTTAATTATACCAGTTTTTACTAGTTAGATAGATTTCACATCGTCATAAAAATATAAAACGTTAGGAGAGAGAGAGAGAGAAAGATCAACCACCTAGTAAGCTGAGCAGTAATTATAGACAGTATGTGCTAAGACAGTATTTAATAATGACTCAAAAAGGTGTTATCTATCCATGCTGGTGTTAAATTCAAATAAAATAAACAAAAGAAGAGAGGTAAGTCAACAACCTGTCCGTTTGACCTCTATGACCTCAATTGTTTAAATTACCAACTAATAAAAATAATAATAATTAAATTACTCGTAACAGTTATCATATAAAAAGCCTACAACCTGATAAACTGTGTGCTCGTACTCACGTATACACACACGCAAAAACTCAAAGACTCCCACTGGCACAATTATGCAATACAAAAAACAAACAAGGTGAACAGTTTTATGCCGGTTACAGTTTTTTACCATAAATTCACAGTTGGAGTGAGTTAGCCTCGTTTATAAATGTCTACATAAATTTATTTTTTAATTTTAAACTGAAAGGAAATTGAATATTGAAAGATCAAGAAATGAAGAAATATTTCCAAATCTGCGGGTGAAGATTTTATTTAAAACGTTTCAGAAAAAAGATAATGATGATAAACAATAATTCAAAGGTGGATTTGATTTTTAAATTCGGAAATAAATTTAGTTGGTTGATATAAACAAAGTGAATTGAAAACTGATTAAAAATGTCCATTAAAATTTTCAAACAAATAGATACTGAACAAAGAGTACTCTTTTCGATAACGCCTTCATCATCAGGCTCTACATTTATACATACATTATAGTGAATGAATGAATTAGTGTTATGAACGACATTAATGTTGTTTAAATAACATCTGTAAAACAGAAGCCTCTTTATATACGACTACAATTCATGGGTGATATATCAAGCAAGATAGTTGCGAAGAAATTAAGAAAATCAGTTCAAAGAACTTTTACTGCTGGCGAACTACACGTCTTATTCTCTACATGACCGATGGTGATTCCTTGACTGAAAGATGAAGTACCTAGATTAGCCACTTCTAACTGTATCTTTCAATTCAACTGCGCTTGTGGAGCCAGTTATATTGGCCGTTGCTCTAGGAACTTGATTTTTCGTGCTTGAGAAAATCTCCCAGCATGGCTAAGTAAAGGTGTAGTGAAAACTATTAACAGCTCGATATTGGAACATCTGGTGCAAACAGGCCACAAAGCCAGCCAGCGTGGAAGAGTCCTTCTTTATATTATACCTAGTGCCAAATAAATTACCAAAAACATCGAAGCACCGCAGGCTCCAAACAGCAGAGGCTATTGAGATTCACCTCAAACAACCAGCACTCTGTGTCCAAAAGAAGCAAGTCCAACCCCTACTATTGCCCTGGTCTTCAGTAGAAACTATAAACTCATGAATTTTTAATATTACCTTTCCTAATTCTTCTGACATTCAGCTTATTGTTATGTTGATGCGATTAAGCTGTAATCTGTCAATATTATTGATTTGATGTTATTTAAAAAACATTAATGTCGATAAAGAAAGGAAGACGAAATTTGCAGTATAAAATGATGTCATTCTATCTCACAGGTTCTCATCAGCTGCAGACTACCTGAAATTACAATGGTTATATAGATAATAACATACTTTAATGTTCGAGTGGTGGTAGAAGAGAGATACTATAAAATTGACGCATCTAAATGAAAGCATTACAATGTTTTTAGTTTAAGTTTTCATCATCAATTTATACGCTTTTAAAGTTGAAAAGAGGGGGAGGGGTAAGAGAGGAAACAGAAAAAATTGATTAACAGAACAGTGTTAGCTTTTAGGTTCACATAGCAACTCAAGAAACAAAAACGGTTACAGTTTATGAGATTAAGATTGTCTCAGTGAGTTGAGATCACTGAATTAGATGACTAATCAAAATTCTGTTACCAAGGGAGTGAGAGGTTAATCACACTCTCTTTCTGTATGCACCACTCGAACATTAAAGTATGTTATTATCTATATAACCATTGTAATTTCAGGTAGTCTGCAGCTGATGAGAACCTGTGAAATAGAATGATATCATTTTATACTGCAAATTTCGTCTTCCTTTCTTTATCGAAATTTATCAAGGGAACGAAATGTATGAACATTAATGTTGTTCATTACACTAATTCATTCATTCACTATAATGTATGTATAAATGTAGAGTCTGATGACGAAGGAGTTATCGAAAAGAGTAATCTTTGTTCACTATCCATTCTTTTGAATTGAAAACATTGAATGGAAAAACGTTTACCCTTAATAATGACATGAAAAGATGAGATTACTATTATTATCGTTATTATTGCGGGCAATGTGAATTTCTTTTCAATAACCTTTACTCCTCACTTCAAAGTTAAGTTACAGAGTGATGCAATGCGATTAGAAGGAAGCCATGGACTTAAGTTCCGTGCTTGTTAGCATTCGTTAGCAAGGCGTATCTGCCGTTCTTAAGGAACTTACTTCCACGCTGTAAGATTAGTACTTGCATCAGATAGTACTTTAGTCGGAGATGTTACCAGTGACCTATTCGGGCTCACGATTATCCTTCTGTAGGACTGTGATAGGTACTTTAATTGGTACAGAGTGAATTCTATCAGTCATTTTCTTAATGTAGTCACCATGACAGGTGACTTACCGTAGTGGTGTATAAATAATAATAAATAATTTTTCCTTCACGTTCCCAGTGGAACATAGGGCTCCAAGCTAGTGGCTTGAAGTTTCTGTAGCAGTGTTTAATTTTTACAGGATGGGGTTGCTAGCCTCATGCCCAACCTTTCCTCTTTACCAGCATTATTTGTGGCTCAGTGAGGTAAAGGAGTGCGCCGGCCGGGGTCGAACCCCGGACCATATGCACGGTCGGCGAGCGTCCTAACCGCTATACCACCGACGCTCGTAGTGGTGTATACCCAGTAATAACTTCTCTGAATGACTGGGGTTTGAATCCCATCAGGAAGATAAGTCCTTTTGAGACTGCAGACGAGACTTGCTGACTAGTAAGTGCAACGCAGGGCTTCCTGCCGATCACCTCCAAACTTTTAATATTACCATGGTAGTTTTAAAGTCATCACAATTTCTTTTGCTACACACAGAAACCGCGTTTATCAACTGTAGCTGCACAAGCCTCCGAGAATTCAAGCATTTTTGTGTTATTGCCTGACGGCAGTGAATGACCTAACAGCGTCAGTATCATGGCCTTGTCTATAAGACTTATTTTTATTGAATCGTTGCTTTAGCCGTTTTTAATCACTTTATCAATACTTCATCGTACGAGTAGACAATCGCTGTCCACAAACACATACAAATTGATATGCACACTTTAAAGCGTCGAAAATTGGTGATTGGTCTTTCACAGACTGTTGAAATCCCCGTTTGGTGGTGTTGAGAACTACAAGATTTAAAGGATAAGAGGTTTTTCTAATATCTGTCTCAAGTCACCATCTAACTGTTTCGTATACATCCTCTACTTCAAATGATTGATTGAAATACACAACCTTCTATGAAACGGTTTTGACAGTATTATTGAGTTCTATTTCTCTTTGCAATACCTATCGGTTAACCCCTTCAGGATATCCATTTTATACATAAAATGGACTTTAGGGTCTTGGTTATATATCCAGATTTACTGTCGGAAAAGTGTTCTGATTGGCTTCCTTTTATAATGGAGGGAAACACACCTCCTAAACTATATTTACTGTCCTATCAACGAAAATTCTGCTGAATATGAAACTATCTATTGTGCCATCAGTCTTTTTCAACAGAAAAAGCATCTTAGAATAGGTTGAATTTCGTCTGTGATTTACATTCCCAGACAATAGAATTCTCACTATCATATCTCAGACACAATTCCATCTGTTGTATATACTGCCTCAATTTATATGTAAAACTTGGGCACTGTGGTGGTAAGTAATTCCATATCAGTTTGTTTATTTGATGTATCACACAGTCAGTGAAACACTATTATTATTATTATTATTTACTGCATGACGTTTCGAACAAAACTTATTATTGTTCATAATTATTTCATCAATTATAATCACACAACTTCGAAACTTGAATTTCACAGTCTTCTTTGTCCCCTCCTATTTGTCATAGAGGTAGTAGAATTTTTCAGATATGTGAGACAGGTGTTGAAACATTCCCATCACACGTGTTTGCATTTGATTCGATAAACAAAGCTTCTGTTATTAATCTTTCCCTCCACCCTGTGACACATTCACTCAAAGGTAGAGGCAATTCAATTCACTTATGAATTGGAAAGTCAGAAAGCGGAACTGCCAATGTTAGACTGCAGTGTAAAAAAGGAAAGAAGATGGGAAGTTAAACACACTGGTGTTTACGGGAAACTTATACATTCAAACAGATATTTGGACTTCCGATCATCCCACCCACTTTGTCAGTAAAAATACGATTGGTGAAATGTTTAAGTGACGATAGAGCACAAAAACTAAGTAGTACCAAGGAAAATCTACGACAGGAAGTGATACATATAAGAGAAGCCTTGAAACCTAATAATTACCGCGATAAATTAGTCAGAAAGTATGTAGCGAAATGTAAAATAAAATAAATAATGATAGTAGTCATAGTGATAATAATAATATTATTAATTACGACATGCAAGTCAAATGACGACGCCAATAATAAGGAATCTAAATCTTCAGTAGTAATTCCATACTAGGAAGGAACCTCAGAAACCTTACGGCGGAGAATTATTAACAAGGCAGGCAGGAATAAAAGTGACTGGCATTCAAACCGCCAACAAACTCAATTAGAAACAAGCTTTGTCGGTTAAAAGATCATTCTTGTGGAGCCTTTAAAACGAAACAATTTAGTTTATCTAATACCCTGCCTGCAATGATTGTCAGTCAGGTCAAATACATAGGTCAAACTAGTAGAACAGGGGCAGTCAGTCAAACTAGCCGAGCATAAAAACCTAGCAAAATCGAGATTAGTTGACCCCAATAAGATAAGAAATCTAGAGAATAGTTCAGCTATAGCACTCACTACATGCAGTTACACACAACCATACAATAGGATGGATGGGATAGGATGACAGTTCTAAAATCTACTTTAACAGCGTGGAGGGAGAGACTGACAACAATGGAACCTTTGTTTATCGAATCAACTGCAAATCATCACGTGTAATAGGAATGATTCAACAGCTGTCCATTCGGATATCTGAAAAATTCTACAACCCCTTCGACGACAAATAGGAGAAGACAAAGAAAACTATAAAACTCAAGTTTCAAAGTCGTGTGATTACAATTGACTGGTGTGATTATGAACAATAAATTTTGTTCGAAACTGTGTCATCCAGTAAATACTAATACTGTTTCACTGTGTGATACATCTTATAAACAAACTAATATGCTATAATGCCTCAAAGTGCTAATTTCAGTGTATTTCATTTGTTAGTCACATATGCTCCTATGTTCTTCCCAAAGACATAAAGAAAGATAACACCATATGAAGAGTATTTAACTACAGCATTCTATCGAAATTTGATGAACTCAATATATTCTTTGCGTCAGCGGTTCACTGGTAGAATGCCCACCAATCATACGCCGTGTGGGGTAGATTCCTGGCCGCTGTAGTCTTAAATCTTGATTAGCCAATGGATGGTAAGCCCACCCAGAAGTGAAGGTTAGGCGTGCGGCTAGTGACCTCATGTCGTAATAATGAAAATACCAGAGCTACTAAAATCTTCAAAGCTCAACTTTGAAGCCCTCTGTTAAACTCAGAACTCTAATGATTAGATTATTTTTACAGGATGCGGTTGCTAGCCTCATTATGCCCAACCTTACCTCTTTACCAGTCTTACTAATGGGGCTTAGCGAGGTAAAAGAGTGCGTCGGTGGCTGGGGATAAAACCCCGCACCATCTGCGTGGTTGGCGAGCATTCTACCGCTGTGTCACAGGCGCACAACGATTAGACACTGAACCTGCTTTATTAATACTTGCTAGTTTTTTTTCAAAGTTAAAACAGTCTACATGGATATGATTTTCTAGGGGGGTTGAACACTGAGTGGTGATTGCAGTGAAATGATGATTAGCTAATTGCCAGTTTCTTTTCTTAGCTGAGTTCCTAAGGCGTTGAACTAGTAATTCAGAGGCAAATGGTTCCAGTCTTGATGCAGACAGGATTTCCATTTCACATTCACTCATCCCCCATTACGTTCCTCTACTGGAAGCTACCTCCAACTATCTCACCGTCAATAAATATCAATAAATTGACGTAAGTATGAAAGTTAAGACTTTACAATCATTATTATGCATGATTCAGTCACTCTTCGTCTTAGGTCAGCTGTGACTTTTATGTTTTCACGCATAAATGGCTACCATCAACCAATTTTGTTGGCGTAACTGTGTGTTCCACTGTGTTTTATGCCAAACAAAAATCTCTACTCATCGGAATTTCCCCATTCGCCTCAGACTCTCTTGTCATTCATTGAATTACAAGTAGAAAATAGGACTACAGTCTTGAAGTTTCAGTACGCGTGGTGGGTATTTTTGAAGGCCTCATTAGGTCATAAGCCTCACGTCGAACTTTACCATTTACCACGCAGCTTATTATCACCTAGTAATTCAGCCGAGGTTTACGAATGAGCCGGCCGAGAACCTCAGGACACGTGTGTCGTTGACTAGCATTTCATCTCTGGCCGCCTGGCAAACACATTAGACTATCACCTAAACATTACTCAATATATAACTTTTTGTGGTTGCATCATAAGTAACAGATGCTTCTACCTTATATTTTTTTATTTTTTTTTGATTACAGCTTGATTCCACACTATATTTTTGGTACAAGTATGGAATTTTCAGCATGGATATAGGTAGCCCAAATTTCGCAGGCCGACCATAGATATCAGGCGTGAGTCGGCAGGGGATCGAATCTTGGACCATGTGCATGGTCGGAGAGAGTCTCAAACACTGTGCCACCGACGCACATTATAGATATTAATGCATGAATAAGATTCATTTGTATTTAGATACCAGAGAGCAAATAACACAACACAGCGTTCTCTTAGCGGTGCTTCCACCAGCTAACCAACAATGAAATATTTGACAGACATTCAACAGCGTAATTCGTTATCAATGTACAGTGTGATTTTTAAGAGTTAAAGACGTCTACTACTTATGTGAAATACGTGAACACACTCTAACAGAAAAGATCAACAACAGGGATCTCTGGGAGCAAACCAACCAGGAACCGATTGTGCAGCAAACATGCAGGAAGAAATGGAGGTGGATTGGCCATACTTTGAGAAAACAAACAAGCCCTCGAGTGGAACCCGAAAGGGAAGCAGCGAGTTGGTCGTCAGTGCAAGGGTGACTTGGAGGAAGTCATGTGAAGAGGAGATGAAAGCATGTGGGCAGATATGGAGCCAGGTGAAAACTCTAGCAGAGAACCGAACGCAATGGAGACGTGTGGCTGAAGCCGTATGTTCCTCTAGGAATTAAAGGAAATAATAATAATTCATAAAGGGTTGACAGTTTGAAATATTGACAGTTGGAGAAATATCCAGAAAAACCATCACAAAAAAGTACCTCTCACTAAATATTCCAAATAGTTTGACGTCTTGTCAATACGTAGACACGCACACACACACACACACACATACATACATACATACATACACAGAGAAGAATCCACCAGTAAAGCATGTGTAGCATAGAAGTGACAATAAGTGCGGAGGGTTTTTTCTTGCTAAAATATTGAACACACCAAAACCTACCGATTATTTTCAGATTATCTTTCACCGGAGTTGCCTCTTTCCTTGGAACAGAGCCTTCAGCATTGTGGTTTGATAATGTTGATATACAAGGTGGCTGTGGATTAACCTTCCCAGCCTCCTCGTTCTTCGCATTCTGTTGGACATCAACAATTGTTAAGTGATTCAGTTTATTGTCATATTTTTCAACATTGTTTCTACTCACACTAGCTTCCAGAACGACGTCGTCTTTGATGTCTTCCTCCATTTCGTCACCGTCATCATCGCCTAGAATACAGTCTGCACTATTATGAATAATGGATAATAATTTATTTGGCTTATTCTGTGAATATTCTCCTTCAACAATTATAGCATTCTCCATATCTCCATCATGACTAATTAAATCAGCTCCCAGACTTCCATAGTCTTTCAAAAGGTTTCTTTGTTTTAACAATTTATTATCATATTGACCTTTATTATGACTATTATTATTATCTCCAGTAATGATTTTTAAATTACACTGACTATTTGAATATCTGTTGTTTAAATTCACTGAAGATTGTTTCAACTTGACCTTGTGATTATCGCGGACTATTTGTAATAGAGTGTTTGGTTTCAGTGTTTCATTCATTTTATTTACATGTTCATCCTCATCTTCTTCTTCATCATCGTTGTTATCATTGTCAACCTGTCTACTCTTCATTTCCACCGCTTTACCATCTTCATCACGATTCATTGGATTATCAACTGCTTGTGTTCTAATCTCTTTATAACTTAAGTGTTCTGTTAGAATTGGTTTATGTTCAGGTTTGTATAAGGTGATAGTACCGGGCTTTAACTGTTGGTGTTGTTGCTGGTGTTGTTGCTCATAATGTTGATCACTCTTCAAGTGATTATTTATCAGATTGTGATCTGAAATTTCCCAATCGTATAAATCTGATTCTTGTATTTTATGCTGTGATAACCATTCATCTAGGCAGCTAATAAGCAAGCTATAGTTGGGCATACTTTTATACTCTAATTGTTCTACATGTGTTATCCATGTAGTGACAATATTTACAGGCAGGCCGGATTTTATAGCTAATTCTTTATGATTTAATGCCATTTTCATTTGTCCAACTAGCTCTTTATCTCTTATTCGTCGCCATGGTAATTGTCCACAAATAAATTCAATAAACATATAAACTAAAGACCATAAATCATCTCGTCTAGCTAAATCTTGATGTGAATGAGCATTAATCGATGCATAACGTACTGTACCACGAAATCCAGCAATTTGACGAGCATTACGTACTTCACTTCCAGGACCATTGATAGTATAGGGTCTAGCTAAACCAAAATCTAACAGGGTGACTTGTATTCTTTGTGAAGCATTATCCTTTGGTTTACCACGTTGAATTGCAAAGTTAGAAGGTTTTACATCACGATGTAAAAAGCCAGCATCGTGTAGGGTTTGTAAGGCGGTTATACATTGTTTAATTAGACGAAAAGCTGTCCCAAGGGAAAAAACTGCACCTGGTAGAGTTCGACGGATTTCAGAAAGATTTTTACCCTAAAAGTACAAAATAAAAATGAATTTTAGCATAACATCTTAACGATTTAAAGATGTAATAAAGTTGACAACATCATCAATTTCTAGAATCCTGGCCACATTGTAAAATAGACTGGTAGGATTCAGTCTGAACTAAACAAAAGACTAGACACATTACACCAGTCACTGACTAGTGTTCAATCAAGGTGCCCAAAGGTCAGTCACTTACCAGAATAGCTCAGTGGTAATGTGTCTGACTGTAGTACTGGGTGACACGGGTTCAAATCTTAGCAGAGACATGAGTTCCTTCAAGGTTGTAGATACGCCTTGCTGACGAGTTCCAGCTAGCACGAATACTGTGTCTGTGAGTTCCTGCTAACTGCCTCTGACCCTGTGATATGAATTCCAAGTTCTCTGTGATGGTCAGCACTCTATTCTGGTGACCACACTGTTATTACTGAATTGGTAGTCTCTTTGACTCCGAGTGGAACGTAGCGCCTCAACAGCACTTCTGCATTTCAGCCTGTTTTCGCCAGTTGTCTGTAGATGGCTCTGTGAGACTGTCCGCAAGCTTTCATTTCTTTCTCATCACACGACCTCTTTCATGTTACACTCTGAAGACTAACTTGTCGTTTCCCATTCTGGTGTGTAGTGTCACCCAAGGGTCTTCTCAACGTATGCTAGATCTATCTCCGTTTTCTTCGACATATTTATAATAGGCGATAATTTGTTGGTTAGCTCGTTCCCAGAATTCCTTGCTGCCAATTCTTTCTGGCTATTTGATCTTCAGTATCGAAAGAAGGAGGCACGTAATGATGAACATCCTTATCCGTGTTGGATATGCTCTTCCTGGAGTGCCAAGCTTTTCAACCGTATAAAAGACTTGATGAACTCGATATAAGTGTTCCTTATACCAAGTGGAGCAGATTTCCATACATGTCCGTCTTGTTCCTCCTACTCTGCGCTTTTTATATCTTCATCTATGTCCATTCGAAGTCCTGTCTTCGCTGCATCTGTTGTCAGCTAACTGGTTTTCTCCTGTAGGTCTTCAAGTTTTATGTAATACTGAAGATAAATCATTCACAAAGTCTAGTCATTGATTAGTGTGTCCAGTGAAAATATCCATTACAGGCCTACAGTAGGTCAATCGTGAGCTAAAATAGCTCAGTGGCAACGTCCCTAACTTCAGTACTGGGTGACGTGGGTTCGAATTTCAGAAAGGATGAGAGTTCTTTCAAGGATACAGATACGCGTTGTTAATCAATGAGTACCAACTAGTAAGAAACCTAGGTAAGGTGAGGGCCTCCTGCCGACTGCCTCTAACCATCTAATGCCAACAGTTCACAGTGTAATGTGATGGCGAGCCACCTAATGGTATGGTGGCCACATTGCAAACTCAAGTCTGCACGAAACAAATGACTAGACACATCACACTATTTACTGACTAGTGTCCAATCAACAACAAAAATGACGAAGGTTTTTGGCAGTCTAAATTTTAAACAGGCCGTCGAAATTCATCCTCAACTCCCTGATTTTTCAACCCACTTCTATTTCAGCTAACATTGCTTATCGGCAAAAAGAAGATACCTCCCCAAGCGTAAGACATCTCCTAACTATCTTGATTATTTCAGTTTTACAATTAGAATGAAACAATCTACACTAGGTTGTACTGTGCATCGGTGGCACAGTGGTTAGGACTCTCTCGCCGACCATGCACATGGTCCGAGATTCGATTCCCTGCCGACTCACACCTAATATCTATTGTCGGTCTGTAAAATTTGAGCTACCCATATCACATGCTGAAAATTCCATACTTGTACCAAAAATACAGTGTGGAATCAAGCTGTAATCAAAAAAAAAGAAAGAATACTATCCTGAATTCTTTGCTTTTCATACACGAAATTCTTTTAAAATGCTATTTTTTAATTGTCAGCTAAATGGCCTATTAGTAGATAAAGGATATATGATTTCACTCTAATATTATTATCATTATTACTATTATTAATAGTAATAATAATAATAAATACAGGTATTCAATCAGTCGTATGTACTCACAATGAATACTTCAAACGCATGTACAAATGAATGCACACACCAACGATTATCTATTCACATTGACCTTGAACTTCGTTCGCAATTTGATTTATTACTAACATTATTATACCTATATTAAAATCTTAATATGTACACATATTCATCTATGTGTCTTTCTTCAATTTTTCAATTTCTTCTGTGAATCATTTTTCATAATATGATTTGAATGTTAGTCAAATAAAATCGAATGAGATATATGTATATATATACGCATAGATAAATGTCAAAATCACGAGTTTATTCTCTATCTGAGAGTTAATAAGCCTGGCTTCTATGCTTTTCAAAAACTTTTATTGCATGTTTTTGCTTGCTGACTTCATTTCTCACTTCTAATCTTTACATATCTTAAATCATGATATTTCATTTTCGAGAGTTAATTTGTAGATATTGTGATCTGTTTCAAGTTTGGTCATGAATTGATATCAATTGGAGGACCATTGAAAGAGATCAGTGAACATTTAACAGTTGTTTCCTACTGCTTTAGGACTCTTCAGCAGCACGGATTCATCGGGTTACAAGACCAAGCTCACTGACCATTTAACCACCTAGTCTGGAATCTTACAGCCTATGAATTCTAACTTCTATCAGTTCACAAAAGTTTTAACGCCGCCGCTGTTCAATATCATCAGAGAGAATATTGCCCACACACCCGACCTGATAGACTCCACTGGAGACGAATTCTCACTAGTACTCCAGACGAATTTCTCCAGTATTCAGCCAATAGTGAACATCAGATTCATTTTTAAGGACGCTAAAATCGCGAACGTCTCGGGTTATGGGTGCGTACCGCTGAAGGCTCTAAAACTAGGAAGAAACAGCTATCAAATACTCTCCTACTGGTGGTTGATGGTTCTCTAACCGACATCAATCTGTGATCAAATTTGAGACAAATATGGTTGCTGAGTTCAAATCTTAAGGGTTTGATAAGTAGGATGACATTTAATTCAAACACCCTGTGTGACTATTTTAATCATTATTTCTAATGGTTACTACTCCATTCCATTCTCTTCTGTCTGTTTGTTAATCTTAAAGGATTGATAGTTAAGCTAAAAGATGAAAATTAATCATTTTTTTATGCTATAAAACATTCAGAGACTGAAAGTTTTGTGGTGTGAAACAGCTTGATTGACGCATCTTATGGCATTTGGCTAATGGCAGAAGATGTTTCTTTTGTGCGTCTGTAGTTTAGTGGCGGAATGCTCTCTAACCATACCACACACGGTCCAGTTCAACTCCCCGCCGTCACATCCCTAAAACTCTCCTAGCCGATAGCCCAAAAGCCAGGGTTCGGACTCAGGACATTCCTTGTTATTTACCATGTACTATGGGCTAAGTATTTGGCATTCCTTCCGAAATATTCCCGCCTTCCATTTTCTGGTCCATACAGTTTTACCACTTCCCTCACGCTTTCTTTATTTTCACATTAAATGTTGAGTTAAAACGGTTACGTAATAATAATATTATTATGGTCTAGTGGATAAGGCTTTGTCGCTCTAAACAATGGGTAATGGGTTCGAACCCCAGCAGGGGAACACCATCACTCACTGGTTGAGGAGTGTAGGTACATCCACTAGTTGACGAGTCCCAAAAAGGACGAAATTCTCATTCTGCACTGATCCCACCACTAATCACCATCTACCACTAATGCTTTAAATAGAAGATTCTCATTTCCACTCTTAATTCTTACTTACCTGTAATGTCATAACCATATAATTGAATTTTGCATTTTTTCCACAACCAAATAACCGGCATATATTTGGCTTGCCTTGTAAACGTCTTAACACAGCTACTTCCATTCTCAGTACTTGTCTAGCTTGACGATTTGATTCCGCTTTAATAGCTACACGATAATCATAGGCATCGTTGACACTGCATATCCCAGAATCACTCGATACACCATTCGATTTATCATTAACTCCTTGGGATAATTCACACTTACAACTCATGCATATTCGTTTCTTACTGTCATAATTTCCCGTTTGACTTGATTCTCTTGGTGTAGAGACATTGCTGACACTGAAATCTTGTGATGTTATCTTCTGTATACCATTTGACAACTGTAAACGAATGACACCATCGTCTGGAGTATTTTTCTGCATATTGTTATTCTCATTACATGTCAACATAAATCGACGTGAAGACATTGAAGCTGAGGTTGTTGTCCCGGCGGAGTTAATACGCGTACCGTGTTGAAGTATTTGTGTATCTGATGAAAATGCCTGTACACCACCAATACCACTATCTGATCCAACATCCTGCTGTTTAAATTTCATCAGTGTAGAATCTGTTTGACCAGTCAGGATCGGGGAATTAACCGCCGCATTCAGCGTACTATTTGTTGCACAATTTAAGCATAAGGAATATTCAGTGGAATAACGTTTCACATTCGGTTGTTGTTGTTGTTGTAGCTCAGCACAACAATTGGATGGTGTTGATCCTGATGAACAAGAGGAGGAAGATGATGACGATGAGGTGGAATGTTGTACACGTTTTAGTTTGGTGTCAACTGCTTCATATATCTCACCGAAACCACCTCCACCGAGTTTACAGACAACACGCCATCTATCTTTGACTAAATCACCTGGAGATAGAAGATCTCTGACTATCTCATCACTTTGTCCTGATTGATTAATACGATCAAATTTTTCATTCAGTAGAACCGGTTTATGAGTGGGTAGGTTGACTTTTGCTGGAGACCTTTTACTAGTCACCAAGCCATTATGATTATTATTGTTATTATTATTATTATTGTTGTTACTAATATTGCTACTATTTACACATTTCTCTTTTGGTTTGATTAAACCATTTTGATGTGATTGAATTGAAGATTCAGGCTGCATATTTGTTTTCCACCTGAAGACGAAATGTCTGAAATGAAGAGGAAGATAGAAGAGCGTTATTTTCCAACAAAATTATCGTCGATATTTACACACAGAAACAGTTAAAAGTTCATGTTACTTAGTTGTGCTGATGTACTGTTTTCTATTGTCACGGATGCTGATGTTTGTTTTTTATAGTGCCTTGATGGTTCATTGTTAGAAATCTTGCCAACCACACAAGTGACCTCAGTTCGATTCCCGATCAACTCACTTACTGCTTAAGTGATAGTAAGTCCAGCAGAAAGAAGAAAGGTTTGATATGTGGCTAGTAAACCCAACTTGGGGAAAAATGCGATAGCTACACTGGAACCTCAATCCTGAAAGCTCAAAGCCCTAAAGTGAACTCGAAACACAGAGGAATATGAGTATTACGCAGAAGCTACTTGCAGTTCCATGCAGTTAACAATGAGATACACCTACTTTCTGAGGGCCACTGATGCCTCCTGATTGGGTTTCGAAACCACTGACCCATCAACTTGAAGTTGAAGGCCTTGTTCAATGAAAATCACCTCCACACAAAAGGAAAACATATATTATAGAGGCCCAATACTAAATATTAGATGGCTGGCTAGAAAGGATTAATAACAAGGAACCCTGAAAGGTAAATATGGAGATGGAATGGAGAGACGGTTAGAAGACCATCACGTGACATCAAGTACCAGGTCACCTGTAGGGTAGAACCCAAATAGGAAACAACGAATTGGCTGTGGGCGCAGATGTGACATGAAAGAAATATTGTGCTGAGGGAATATCAAAGCTTACAGGTAATCATAGATCCAGGCAAACAGGACTGTAGAGAAGAAGGTAAACTGAAGATGTGCTGCTGGAGTCTTATGTTCCATTCAGAACCCAGGAGAATAATGGTGACATTAGCCCTAACTCACTTCAGCGACTCAGGGATTGACTTGCTACCAGGGAATAATCTCGTTGACTTAGGATATACAGACGACACAGTCCTTCAAGGCGAGTACGCTGACAAAATCCAGCAGAGTCTTATGAACACACTGAGCAGCAATCTACGGAGGTTTGGCATACGATTCGCTCCCGCCAAATGCAAGATGGTGTTACAGGACTGGACTACACCGACTCCTAGATTAGAAATAGGGAGTGAAGTGGTAGAGCATGTTGACCGCTTCACTTATTTGGGAAGTACCATCAACCAGCGCCAACAGGTTGATCTCTGACAAAATCTCAGAACGGATACAGAAGGCTAGTTTCACATATGCCTGCCAGTTTACGCCGTCTCTGCGGTAGGTGTGATATCCGGCTGGCTATCGACCAAAGGGCGGGTGTACTGCTCATCAGTCCGCTCCGTCCTCCTTTATAGCTGGCTGTTAGACCAAGCCATTGAGAGTGGAAGACATGAAAAGATTAGCTGTCTTTGATCATAGGTGCCTACGTTCTATCTAGTGTGTGAACTGGCATAATAAGGTGAGCAATATTGAAGTTAGGCGTCGAGTGCCAGGTAGGTGGGAGTGGAAATCAATCGACAAGGCTATGAAATTACATCGACTCAGATGGTAAGGACGTGTGCTACGTATGCCTAGTCATCGCCTGCATTTCTCGACGGGCAATGTTAGCTGACATAGGGTCAGGCTGGAAAAGAGCTAGTGGCGATCAAACCACAACATGGCACCAGTCAATGAAATCCACAACAGTTAGTTTAAGCCAGCCAGCCATGTAGGAAGGTGTAGACTTCCTGACTGACTGGTTGGGGTCCTCGGGATTGTAAAAACCAATGGTTGGAAACAATTGGTGATATGGCTAAAAGTCGTTCTCAATGGCCAGAGCAGATGCATCCATTCCTTGTGACCTATGATTTCCAATGAAACTATATTGTTCTTCATTATTACTATTCCTTTGTCTCACACCTCTGTTTACTGTCTCTATTATGTATTTCTTGTACTTTCTTCTGTTGCTTTGTGTGCTACATGGAGTGTGGCTACTTGAACTGTTGTATATCCGTGCAAAGTTCTGTGTCGAAGACAGAGAGACATATTGTTACGTATAATTCACCAAATAAAACTACCTTGCAATATTTGAAAATACAGTTTTATGATATATTTTGGAAGTTGGATAACCAGGAGATCTGTGCAACCTAGATGGTTGAGACTTGAGAGTCAGTAGTACCTAAGGCCTTCAGTGAACCTTTAGGTAATTACAACTCACCGTTGGATCACTCAGTGCAGCAGTTCAATAATGAATCCCTAAGATAAGTGGTCAATCATGTTCAATACTAACTGAAACTCATTGGAACTTTGACTGACTCTCATTCGCCACTCGACTTCTAAGATCAAACAGTGAACCATAAGATATCTCTATGCGATGCTGATCAACTATGCTATGTATCTCTAGAACTAAGAGATCATTTTCTCATAATTTGTTCTTGCCATGTCTTTGGCTTTCATACCATCTAAAAACGAGTGGTGTCACTCAGTTGACAGAATAAGACTACCTGTATAGACAGAGAGACACTGAACAGTTTACATACCCAGGCACTGATTTATTCCAGCAGACATTCTTTGATAGACCAAGATCGACACACTAATTACTACTGCTGCTAGTGACTAGTGTGATAAAGATATGCGTACCGGTAGGCCACTGAGAATTACAGTTCGGCGTTTAAGTGATGAATGACACGTATTAGTTTGATTTGCAAACCAAAATAGTAAAGATACATCTACTTGATGAATTTCACACATAGGCTCCACCATTAACCACTATGAAACATGTATCAAGTGATAAATGGCTGCATTGTAGCATGTGCTACTGATAGGACTTATCAGTAGTATATAAAGTAGTATATGTGCATCGTCATAAAAATATCATATAGCGAAGAGATAGATTTGACTTCAAAGACAGTATTGTGGCATAACATGGGAGATACGAAAAGAAGGCAAAGAAACACAATACAAAGGGCGGAAGTAGCACAACCTGGAAGATCTGTGCAAATGATGATTCACAGATAAGGTGAGCATAAATTCGCTATTTAGAGATACCAAACCCCAAATCAACATTCCTTTACCAAGTCATCTGTCTTCCACCGTTGCCATATGGCCTTATCAATTTGAACAGTCAACAGTCATTAGGGAATAACGCAGCCGTGGAGCAAAATTCAGCCTAAATTCCAACCCAAAATAAGTTGACCTTGATTATATAAGAAGTTAACTAAATTGCATGGTGCCACATATTACTGATGGATTAGTATAAGTAGTTGGATACCAATCATATCAAAGAGTAGTACTTGCTAGCTAGACTGAGGTTATCTAATCACCGGGGAGGTAATTTCACCCACGAATAATTTCAGACAACAGTATTCCGAGTATATCAATCAATTCTGTAAACTATTCTTGTCAAACTAGTTACCATTCATAGTTCATGTAAAGGTCCACTTTGTAGTATACTATGTCTAAGTTATACACTTTTAAATGCCTTTACTAAAAACAATGAAGATGTTTTACGAGTTGATCACGGATTGATATCAGTTAGAGAACCATTGAAAACCAGGGAGTACTGGACCGCTGCTGTTTCATCCTAGTTTGGGAATCATCGGCAGTACGCACCCACTGGGTTTCGAACCCAGGACCTTCCGGTTACAAGGCAAGCTCGTATACCATTCAGCCACTGGGACCCGATTCAATGGCTCGTGAATTCTAACTTCTACCAATTCGTGATTTAGCACGACCCCAACCATTGTCGTTGGTGGGACATCCATCCACACACGTGACATCTAATTGGACCTCACTGGTCACGACTTCTCACTAGAACTCAGGAAACTCCAACCTGTAGCAAGTCACTAGCGAGCATCAGATTAACTTTCTATAGTTTTTGTCAAGTTTTGATTTTGTAGGGATTACTGTTTGATTGGTTGGAAGATATTGAGAAGTGCTCGCGCTGTGTCATGAATTGGCAGAAGTTGGAGTCCATGGGCTGGCCATTAGATTGGGTCCCAGTGTGGTGAGAGCAGGCTGCTAGCCGATTGGTTGGCACTAATCTACGTTAAGGTCTAGGTCACTAATATGGGCCGTGAGAAAATATGAACAAGCCTGAGTCAACAACCAATCACAGCAAAGTTAACGTGGCAAAATATGATTCGCAGATAGAGAACTCTATTTGTCAAGGAATCCCGAAACAACCAATCAGAAGCCTGCGTTTGTCTACCTAAACAACCAATCAGATGACTGCGCTTGTCTATAATAATGTAGTTGAAAGATGTATAAATACGTGTTGATTTTCATAATAAAACGATCTGTTGCTTCGCCCTTGTCTTCTGTTGTTACATTTGGTGTCGCTGCCTACCGACAAATGAAAAGCCTATACCCTGCAGTTTTTGATGGAGACATATGGATCTTCGGGCAGGACTTCAAGGCTTCTGCGCAGTTGAGTGGCGTTCAAGATCTGTCAGCGATGGAGCTGCTACTTGAGACGCTGCTGGGAGGTCGGGCGAAAGCAGCATATGAAGGTGTGGGCCGAAGTATGGACGAATGTTCGACAGGGTCAGGCAAACAGTTTCCAAAGTGGGAAGGACCATACATGGTCACTTCGAGATGGGGTTACGCAGACACAGTCGCAATGGCGAACAATGAGAGGCGCGTGAACGTCAGCGAGCTCCAGAAATGGATACAGCGAGACAAGCCAACGATGACGCCTGCACCAAGTAGATCAAGCCGACTTCAGTCGCACGTATTTGACGGGGGACGAGTGTGGTGAGAGCAGGCTGCTAGCCGATTGGTTGGCACTAATCTACGTTAAGGTCTAGGTCACTAATATGGGCCGTGAGAAAATATGAACAAGCCTGAGTCAACAACCAATCACAGCAAAGTTAACGTGGCAAAATATGATTCGCAGATAGAGAACTCTATTTGTCAAGGAATCCCGAAACAACCAATCAGAAGCCTGCGTTTGTCTACCTAAACAACCAATCAGATGACTGCGCTTGTCTATAATAATGTAGTTGAAAG